CAAACCAAATCAAAACAAAAAGAAACAAAACCAAAAGAAACAAAACAAAACACAACAAAAAACCCAAAAACAGAACAAAAACAAAACAAACAAAAATACAAAACAAAACAACAAATTAACTAGTTATTTGATTTCAAGGGGAAAACCGAATTAGATAAATATGTGTGTATGCCCAACGTAAAAGGTTCTATTCTTTAAAGCAGGTACATGTAGTAGCCTACTTTGAAGCAGCAGGAGCGACTCCGGGTTTTTAAAACTGGCCAGCTATTACTCATTTTGACTACTACGCCCCTCAAGTTTCCTTGCCTGTCTCTGGAAATTGCAAACTTACATTTTGTGTGTCTTAAATCATCACAGGAACCTGATTGCAAGTATTTGAATATTTCCCCCCTAAACAACAGTGAAGCATTCGAATACAAGATTACCATTCATCATTTCGTTTAATTTAATATCATCATATCTTTTAGAAATTGGTGTCAAATGAAAGGGCATTGCGTCCTCTTTTCAGCTGTGCCGTAACCCCCCTCACCCAAATTATGAAATGTACAGGCTACTTTGTGGACAAAACCATGAGGACTCTTCACGTCATTAAGCCAGTAGGACCGCACTGCTATCTGAAGGCATGGCCCACTGCTCAACAACAGTTATCTCCCGTACTTTGGTTTGACAGTACGTTTACTTCTATGACTCTCGCGTGTAACGATTTTAACGCAAAATAAAATCCTGTCAATTTATTTTATACATGTATCTGCGGCACAGTTTTTTCTTGGACCAGTTTCATTCATTTTTGTGACATAGCTTACTTTATTTCAAACCTGATTAACGTTAACTAACTAAACATAATCAAACACTTTGAATAGGAAGGAATTCGAAATTTGCAGGAAAAGACACACTGCAATTCGACAACACCAAAACGCCAATATAAAAAAACGACCCAGCTTCAGAGAACGAAGAGTCCCCAGAAAACTTAATTTGTATCGTTGAGCTTGAGTTTTTTGTGAATACTTTTGAGCTGGGCAGGAGCCACTTAAAGAAATCAAATCTCTCTCTCTCTCTCTCTCTCTCTCTCTCTCTCTCTCTCTCTCTCTCTCTTGTATAGTTAAAGACACGTCTATGATCTTGTTTCTCTCGGCATCGTTCCTGTTCGATGAAGAACGCTCTTTAACTTTAACACTCTTTCCTACTCTCTG